CGCTGGGGTGGCCCCTGGGGTGCTGGCTCATCCAGGGGCAACTTGCCAGGCAGAGCATCAGGGATGGGGCTGCAGATGCTCTTGCTCTGCCCTTACCTGTCCCCCTGGCTTTGTCCCCAGGGCATTATCCCCTTGGAGGGGTCTCCCTCTCCGATCCAGTGCACTGGGAGGGGAGGAGGGACTGTGGTCGGAGGTCCCATTGGGACTGGGGGTCTCCACTGGTGCCTGGTGGTGGGGTTGTCTCACAGGCAGTGCTGGTGCTGACGGCTCTGCCTGCAGAGTGTCCCCGGCAGTTCTGGGGTCCTGACTGCAAGGAGATGTGCAGCTGCCACCCCAACGGGCAATGTGACGATGTGACGGGCCAGTGCACCTGCAACCCCAACCGCTGGGGTCCCAAATGCGAGAACGTCTGCCTCTGCAAGCACGGCAAGTGTGACCAGAAGACAGGCAAATGCACCTGCGAGCCCAACTGGTGGGGACCCCAGTGCTCCACCTCTTGCTACTGCAGCCACAACTCCCAGTGCGACCAGCAAACGGGCAACTGCCTGTGCCAGCCCGGCTGGTGGGGCCGCGGTTGCAACAACCAGTGCTCCTGCAACAACTCGCCCTGCGAACAGTTCACGGGGCGCTGCCAGTGCCGGGAGCGGACATTTGGGCCCCGCTGTGACCGTTACTGCCAGTGCTACAAGGGCAAGTGCAATCAGGTGGATGGGACCTGCACGTGCGAGCCAGGCTATCGGGGGAAGTACTGCCGCGAGCCGTGACTCTACGGCCAAGGCTGCAGGAGGCGGTGAGTGGCCGAACCCCACTGGGCCTGATCCAGCGCTGTGGACTCGGAGGGAGGTGGCAGCAGGAGGTTTTGGGGATGCCGCGCTGGGTGATGGGTTCCCCCCTTGCCATTGCAGGTGTGGGCAGTGCAAGAGCCTGCAGCCATGCACTGTGGCAGACGGGCGCTGTCTGACCTGTGAGGCGGGCTGGAATGGCACCAAGTGCGACCAGCCCTGCTCACCTGGCTTCTATGGAGAGGGCTGTGAGAAGCTCTGTCCCCCTTGCAAGGACGGCCACGGCTGCAATCACATCAATGGCAAGTGCTCCCATTGCAACCCGGGCTGGATCGGAGACCGGTGAGTGCGGGTGGGTGCAGGGTTGGGCCCCAGCACAGTGACGCCCAGCCTCTCTGATGCTCCCTGCCTGGGGACCAGGGGTGCCCATGGGTCTCGACAGCCAGGAGGGGAGGGCAGGGATGGGCTGAGCCCACTGGCATGGCCATGGGACCAGACAGGGCCTGTGAGACTCCTGCCCCATGCCCCCCACTAACGTTGGGTGCTTGCAGTGGGGCTCAGCTGTGAAGCTGGGGTGTTTTCTTGTGCCCACAACTGGGTCCAGGGCTTTTGAGCCCCCAAACAGGGCTGACAAGGCATAGCCCCATCTCCCTGCCTGCTGGCAGGAGGCACAAGGGGGCTGCCAGGGTCCCTGGGAGTCCCAGGTGCTCCAGCCCCTGCCATCATCCCTCCCCAGGTGTGAAACCAAGTGCCGGAATGGGACGTATGGGGAGAACTGTGCCTTCGTCTGCAGTGACTGTGTCAACGGCCAGTGCCACTTTGAGCCAGTGCCTCTGCCGCCCCGGCTCCCACGGCACCTAGTAAGTGAGCCATGCTTCAGAGTGCGCCCAAGGACACACTCGGGTGATGCTCGGGCACCTCCTGCACCTGTGGGTCCTACTTGGTTCCCAACTGAGGGGATTCCTGCAGTGGAAGTGCTCACAGGCAGTAATTTGGATGCTTTTGGAGCAGAGGGGAACGGGTCAGCTTGTGAAGGCCGCCCCGGCTCCCACGGCACCTAGTAAGTGAGCCATGCTTCAGAGTGCGCCCAAGGACACACTCGGGTGATGCTCGGGCACCTCCTGCACCTGTGGGTCCTACTTGGTTCCCAACTGAGGGGATTCCTGCAGTGGAAGTGCTCACAGGCAGTAATTTGGATGCTTTTGGAGCAGAGGGGAACGGGTCAGCTTGTGAAGCTGTTAGCAGCAAGGTAGCACTGCAAGAGAGGGGTTTTGCTTTAGGAAATGACTATTTGGCAAAAACAAATGCCATTGACAAAACAGTGGTTTGTTTTTTCTTTTTTTCAGTCCAGGGTGGAATTTCTAGCTGAAAAGAGAAAATCACATCCCAGAGTAGAAAATAGCCTTACGGGCATGTCATCTGAAGGGTGCTGTGGTGCGAGCTGTGGCTCCGGACAGGGTCTTCCTCACCCCTGGGAAGAGCCTTCTAGACCTCCCCCTTTCCCCCTGCCCAGTGAAGGGGCACGTGGGAAGTTGCCATCCTGCTTGCATCCCCTGGTGTTTTTTTGCAGCATGGAACTGAAATGCCATTTGGAAAGGCAAGGAAAGTGTTCCCACCCAGCTGGGGCATGCAAACCAGCTTCCTCAGGTCCTACCGGGTGTTGCTGTGAATTTCCCAGCGATTAACTGCAAGGGTCATGGCAGCGGCAGGGATTTGGAGCTGGCATCGTGCCTGTGCCAGCATTTCACTTGGAGAGTATAAACAGGGAGCGTTTGCATTTCAGATGGGGGTTTTGGGGACTTTGCTAGCCATACGTGCTGCCAGAAGAGCCATCTGGGCACCAGCACCGGTTAGGATGCCTGTGCTGGGCATCGTTTCCACCTTCGGTAGCACAGCCGGAGGTGAGAGGGTCCTGGTGCTCACCCGCGGTGTGAGCGGCAATGTCAGCACGGCACTGGATGGGGATGCAGAGACTGGGTGATGCTCGGGATGTAGCCCTGGTCCCAGCAGCATCCCAGTGCTGTAGCTGTGGGCTGAGGTGCAGCATGGGTGCACTCTGGGCAGGCTGGGAGACTTTCTTCATGCTTGGGCGGATCCCTGTGACTGTGTGCAAACTACTATTTTTGTCAGCAGCATATAATTTTGCTGAAAAGGGGACAGTTTCAGCAAGGAACACAGAACGGATGTCTTCACCATACAGGGGTGTCCTCTCAGCTCTACGTCAGAAGGATGACAAACAAAATCTGTTAAACTATTTGTGGCATGCACACAGCAGTTTATCTCCTCCATATCTCCTCTGGTCATATCCTCCAGAGGTGTTGGGACCCTCTTCGAAAAAAATCGCCTCCTTCAGCTGTCCCAAAATCTTAGCCTGGGTAGAAATGTGAGTCCAAGTGGTGGGGTGAGAGATTTTGGGTTGCCGGGGAAATGTCCCTGCTCCCATCCTGCTGCATTTGCTGCCCTGGGACAGCTGCTTGGAGCGGCTGCAGGGGCCCAGTGACCATCCCAGCAGGCATGTGGCACCTGGTGGGCATGAGGCTCAGCTGGGATAGTGCTTTGAAGGTTGACAGAGCATGAAATGGGCTGATCCACCTCTGGGCACAGCACCAAGGGCTGGGGGGGCAGCTGTGTCCCCAGGCAGAGCAGGTTTGGACTGGGGCCACTGGCTTCTTATGGTTTGCAGCTGCTCCAGCCCGTATGCAGCTGGCAGAGGGGTCAGGGCCTAGAGGGTTCAGTGCCTAGAAGCACCATCAGCATCCCCTAAATCCATGTGGGTCCTGCACCACAGTGCCTGTCCCACGGCTGGGGTGGCAGGTCGGGTCGGTCCCACCAGCATCAAGCCCTAGCTGCTTTGACGTGTGCCCAGTGCATGTTTTCTGTGCTCAGGCCCTTGATGCTGGTGGGTCGGTACCTGTTCATGCATGTCCCCATTGCCTCAGGGAGGTCATTTTACCAGCAGTGGAGATTTGACACCAGGCTTAGCCAAACTGGGAGGGTCCACCTTGACAGAAAGATGCTTCAGGGCTCTCTAGTTGTTTGTTCTTCTTGGGAGGGGGAGAAAAAAGTCAATCTGGGCACCTTCCCAGCTTGGGATTGTCACCGTTCTGCTCATGGGGGTGGCTGGGTGTGCTGTGGCCACATCTGAGCTGGAAACCCTGCATGAGGATGTCTTTAGATGTGTCTGCTGGGTTAACAACCTTGTGTTATTGCTGCACCTAATTGCGACACCCTGCATAAGGAGCACAGCATCTGAGCTCCAGCCAAGCCAAATACCCCGAGTGATGCGCGAAGCTGCTGGGGTCTCCCAGGGTGCGGGGGGACTCTGTTGGAACAGGTTGGAGAAATGCCCTGGCTTTTTCCCAGAGCCCCAAGGGCTTGGGAGGAGGCAGCAGCTGGGTGGCGAGGTGTCTCACCCGGCCCCATCCCTCCAGCTGTAACCTGACTTGCCCACCCGGCCGCTACGGAGCCAACT